TTCCAGCTTTTGTGATATTTATATATAAAACTGCATATTTTTTACTGCATTGTAAGAATTGTGTCATTTTTTAGAATTTGAGCTAAATCAATTAGAATGTAGGTGCACAGCTACAATAAACGTGTTCAGCATAAAATTTAATTCACAAACAAGAGAACTTACAGCTTGGAAAAACAGATTGCTTGCTTTATTGGGTCAGTGTTTTTTATTTTTGGCATCGTGGCTTATCATGATTTCACCACTAAAGTTACAAAAGCACTACTGCAGGATAAGATATGTATACTGCAGAAAGGGTTAATTGAATGTTTAGATTAAACCTGTGTTAAAGTGGTTCTAAAGGTAGAAATATTTTTTGTTTTACCTTAATACATTCTGTCTAATGCATTCTATGCATTAAGGTAAAAAACTTTCAGCATGCAGCTCCAGCCCCCCTAAATACTTCTCTGAGCCCAATCGCGATCCACCAATGTGCAGGAGAGCAACAGCTCTCTCAGTTCCCTCTCCTCACTGGAAAGAAAGGCAGCAGTGGGAGCCATTGGATTCTGCTGATGTCAATCGCAGCCAGTGAGAAGGCAGCAGGGGGCTGGGCTAGGCTGTGCTCTGTGTGTCAATGGACAAACAGCGCTTGCTCGGTAGCAAGCACGCATGAGTGCCCCCGTAGAAGGCAACTTGCTATGGGGTCACATGGCAGGGGGAAGAGTTAGGAGCACTAGAAAGGGACCTGAGAAGAGGAGGATCAGGCTGCCCTGTGCAGAATCATTGCATAGAGCAGATAATATGTCACATTTTGCAAAACCAAAAAGAGATTCCCTGAGCTTACTGTACAAATTAAAGATATGTCACAACAGTAACACTGCAATATATGAATACTAGGTATAAAAGCATACTTCTCACTAAATAGGTACACTGTCACTTTAAGGTGCTATTCATACAATGTAGATGAAACAACAATGTCTTATTGATGTTGGAATACAGTGTTCATGTATTTTTGTGCAACAACTAAATCAGTATTCAGTAGGGATATATTCTTCAAACAGTAGATGGCACTGTTTATGTTTGTAGCTGCATTTATGATGTACTCTATGACTTTTCTCTGAATTAAAGTTTTCTGTTTCCTTGTTGCAGTGAAGCAGAGAAACAAATGTGGACTATGCACTGTCTATTCTGTAGGGCTATATACAGAATTTCTAACAGTTTATGGGCCCAATCATAACCAGCTACAGCAAATAAGTGCAAGATACAGCAATAGAAAAACTGCAACAGAATAAAAGGAAATGGTCATTAGCACAGCTGCAAAAAAGCTTTCATTTGCAAATCTGAGAAACCAGAACTACCAGTCTTGAAAATTCAAGATAAAAATGTGGCTAATAGGAGAAGGTACATGGAAATGTATAAATGAAGTCAGATCACACCTTTCAAATGAGTGGATAGAGAAAGATCAGGATGCTCAAAGCACAATCTCTCTTAGCATAGAAGATGATCAAAACATAGATATATGTGTGAAACTGCTAAAGAAGTATGAGAAGGTGCATAAAAGAGCTAATCTCAGCAATAAACTATTTGATTAGAAAGCTATTCCAAACCAAGCCAAGGAAAAGCCAGGATATGTAGGAATACATAAAGCACATCTTGGAAATGGTTGGATGCCTGAGAGATATAGATTTTCATGTCGCAGCACTATTACTTAGTGGTTTACCAGAAAGTTATGAAATGCTCATCCCAATAATGAACTGACACTGGAACATGTTAAGGGAAACCTTGTGGATGAATATAGACGTAAAACAGAAAGCATTACTAGTGATTATGCTTCTGTCGCAGGGTGTGCTTTAAAGATGAAAATAGTTATAAAAACAGTGACATGCAACAAGAAACATGTGAATGCTTTGCATTGGGCACAGAAACCCTGACATAATAAAGAAATTAATGGAGAATGACTATGCAAGTTGAATACAAATTAATCAATGTGATCAAACAATGAAATGTACCAGCTGTACAAAATGAAAAAATACAAGAAAACCCTTTCCAAAGCAGAGTAACAGCAGAGCTAAGAAGCCTCTGGACCTAATTCATTCAGATTTTTGCTGTCCAATGGAAAAATTGACTCAAGGAAAGAAGAGGTATTTTCTCACTTCTATAGATGATTACTCCAGGTATACTATGTCACGATCGCAAGATCGCCGCCACCAACATGAGACAATCCCACGATCGCGACATCTAATATGTCATGATCGCAGCGTCAGACCCCAGACCTTCTCACCAAACTCGTGACTGAAGGACTAGCCAATCTAAAACCACGATGTGACGTGCGTAACAATGCCACGCCCAGCTGCACCCTGCACAACGATTTTCCAGCTAACGGACCACAATCGATGTACCGGTAGCCTGGGTGATCGTTACTGGGTCGGGTTAATTACGCAACTAACCCTCCACACTGCCACCACCTCCTTTTTGTACAGAGAAAGAGGAAACTCACGTTATCAGTTATAACACTATAATGATTGAAATAATTGTCTGTATAAAACGGTCCGCAGGCCGGTTATACAGAGGTTTAAACAAACAGTAGCGTCTCTTTAGAGGCAGGAATTTGTGAGTTGCAATACAGAGCTATAGAAACAGTTCAACACTTTCAGAAAGAAAGATTTATTACTAAAAGGTCAAACGGGTGCAATAAAAATATTTACAGAAAAAAAAGATGTAACTAAGATATATATATAAATATACAGAGAATAAAAGCACAGCAAAGAGATAACAGGGAAAAGTTAAAGGGTTAAGTTACTTGCCATTAAGCCTTGGATGTAAGCAGATCACGTTTCACGTTTCAGAGCGAAAGGCACAGGTCTCCCCAGGGGGTATATTGATGTTAAAATATGGGAGATGTCTTCAACTACTACTCTTAGGCTTGACAGCCTGTTTAAAGTTTCCCAGAAGGGGGTGTTTTGAAGTAAAAGACCAATCCCCTGTTTAGGGAGGAATCATCAGGCGGAGCCCTAAACTGGAGCCAACATCTTTTCATAACTCATATTCTGGTCCATAACCTTCCATCTGCACCAGGGACCTCCCACCGTGGGTAGATTATTATGCAGACAATTCTGAGGATTGACCAGATATGAATTATGAAGTTGTATGCTACACGGTTCGCAAGATCTATTTCTCTGCTTTCCCGTGCGCCCCAGATAAGGCGAGTGACCCATCAAACTGTTCGCCTGCTCATCGTCCATCCGATGATATGTCCGGTTTTTATGTATGTCTCTCATATTCCAAGATATGAGACATAGGGGAAAAATGGATCTTTTAAAAATGTTATCTGGTGTGGGCTTCTTGGGAATGCCTTGAACTCCTGGGAAGGCTCTGTTATCTTTTTACGAGGTGTGAAATTACACAGGTTCTTTGGGCAGTGCTGCACCATGTGGCTCCCTGCTGGGATCTGGCCTGTGACACTTTTATCACACATACATCTGTCACTGTGCCTCTCAGGAAGGGAGGGGGAAGGAGAATGAAAGAATAACATGGCTACTCTTAACAAAATGGCAGACTGCGTCAGTCTCTGGCACGCACGTTTGCGACATACTACACTACTGTATATCTGTTACACAACAAAAGTGAAGTACCAAATGTGAACAGCATTTGGCTGAAGTGAGCAACAAATCTGGCAAAATGTGTATTGCACACAGGCAATAGAACTGAATATACAGGTGATAACACACAGGCTATTCTCAGAAAGCATGGCATAATATTTCAAACTACTGTACCATACAAATCAGAACAAAACAAGGTTACAAAAAGAATGAACCATACTTTATGTGACAGTGGAAGAACCATGCTATTCGATGCAGATATGCCAACCACATACTGGGGGGGGCAATTATGATTGCATGCTATATCCAAAATTGACTACCAGGAAAACTAACTAAGAAAAATCCGTATGAACTGTTGAATGGAAAAGACACGAATTTGAACCATCTATAAATGTTTGGAAGCAAAGCCTATGTGTATATACCAAAACAAAAACGTACAAAATGGGATGCTTGCGCAAAGGAAGGTGTACTTGTGGGGTATAGTGAATCTCAAAGAGGAAACAGAATTCTACACCAAGACACAAACAAGGTAACCATCAGTCGAAGTGTAATTGTCAAAGAAACTTCAGTGTGTACAAAATTTCATGAACTAAGACAAACGCTTCAAACTGAGGTAAATTCCACATCAGTGTCACATGAAGAAACAAAGTGATACAGAAATAGAAATTAGTGTAGACAATCCAAATACCATAAAAGAAGAAACCAGGCATCCCAGCCAAATGTCTGTCCTATGTTGCTCACATAGCATTAAAACTAGAGCCAGATTAACAGGATGAGATGCAAGACTTCCAACCCTTGAGAAAGTAGATCAGAACTGCTGATGAAGAGATGACATTTCTTAGGGAACTGAAACATATTTATAGAACTGAGGTCCGAAATGGGACTAATAAAAGAAGTAGTTGTTAAGTGGGGGAGTTGCAATACAGTGTTCATGTATTTTTGTGCAACAACTTCATCAGTATTCAGTAGAGATATATTCTTGAACCAGTAGATGGCAGTGTTCATAGGTTTGTAGCTGTATCTATGATATATTCTATAACATTTCTCTGTAATAAAGTTCCTGTTCCCTAGTTGCAGTGAAGCAAAAAAATGCGGACTGTGCACTGTCTGTTCTGTAGGATTATAAACAGAATTTCTAACAATTAATAACATTAGTGCAAAATATAAAGAAAACTAAGAATAGAAACAGTCAAAGATCAGTTAAAAGTCCATATAAGTCAGGCATGTCCAAAGTCCGGCCCGCGGGCCAATTGCGGCCCGCGTTCCGGACTGAAACGGCCCCACAGGTGAGCTACCCAAATATATAACTTACGGCCCCCGGTAGTGATTCCCTGAAAGCTACTGAGGACTCCAGCGATCTCTTGACATCATCAGCTGGCGCAGGAAAGAGAGCCCAAATCTCGCGACGTCCAAGATCTCGTGAGATTTGGGCTTTCCTTCTCTGTGTGCCGGCTGATGACGTCAATTCCCGCTCGACAGATCCCTGGAATCCCCAGTGGCGTTCGCAGAATCACTAGTGGAGGGCCGTAAGTTATATATTGGGCAGCTCATATGTGGGGTCCGGAACGTCGGCCGAGGGATCCCAGGTGGTGCGCAGGGAATTACTACTGGGGCTACCATTTACCATGTCTGCAGTCTCTGGTCATGTCTGCAGTCTCTGGTCATCTCCTGTACTGTGTCCGCAGTCACTGGTCATCTCCTGTACTATGTCTGCAGTCTCTGGTCATCTCCTGTACTGTGTCCGCAGTCTCTGGTCATCCCCTATACTGTGTCCGCAGTCTCTGGTCATCTCCTGTACTGTGTCCGCAGTCTCTGGCCATCTCCTGTACTGTGTCCGCAGTCTCTGGTCATCCCCTGTACTGTGTCCGCAGTCTCTGGCCATCTCCTGTACTGTGTCCGCAGTCTCTGGTCATCTCCTGTACTGTGTCCGCAGTCTCTGGCCATCTCCTGTACTGTGTCCGCAGTCTCTGGTCATCCCCTGTACTGTGTCCTCAGTCTCTGGTCATCTCCTGTACTGTGTCCTCAGTCTCTGGTCATCCCCTGTACTGTGTCCTCAGTCTCTGGTCATCTCCTGTACTGTGTCCGCAGTCTCTGGTCATCTCCTGTACTGTGTCCACAGTCTCTGGCCATCTCCTGTACTGTGTCCGCAGTCTCTGGTCATCTCCTGTACTGTGTCCGCAGTCTCTGGTCATCTCCTGTACTGTGTCCGCAGTCTCTGTCCATCTCCTGTACTGTGTCCGCAGTCTCTGTCCATCTCCTGTACTGTGTCCGCAGTCTCTGGTCATCTCCTGTACTGTGTCCGCAGTCTCTGGTCATCCCCTGTACTGTGTCCGCAGTCTCTGGTCATATCCTGTACTGTGTCCGCAGTCTCTGGTCATCTCCTGTACTATGTCCGCAGTCTCTGGTCATCTCCTGTACTATGTCTGCAGTCCATTTTTTATGGTTCAGAATTTTTTTTCCCTGTTTTTCGCCTCTAAAACCTAGGTGCGTCTTATGGTCAGGTGCGTCTTATGGAGCGAAAAATACGGTATCAATTTGGGCTATAATGGTTTGGTGCTCAGGATTGCTTGACGTCATCAGACAGTGCAAGGAGAAACAAAGCCCAAATCTCGCGACCTCCGAGATCTCGCGAGATTTGGGCTTTCCTTCTCCCTGTGCTGGCAGAGTGATTTAACACCTGTTTAGATTTGTCATCCAAGTCACAAAATGAAAAGTATGCCGTTTTCAATAAACTTTTGCATAAAATAGTTCATTTGCATTTAATGTTAATGGTTCATCAGAATGTCGGGCAAAATGGTCGGCCCTCGCACATGTTCACTTCATCAAATCTGGCACTCTTCCAAAAAAGTTTGGACACCCCTGATATAAGTGAAATAGAGTGCATAAAGTCCCAACGTTAACAATATTTAGCTTTGAATCAATCCGAATAATAAATGCTCTCCAAGTGTATGACACCAATGTTCACACACTCCTTACCAGATGGAGAGATTTCAATAAACAGAGAACAGTTGCACTTTGCTGTGATACAGCCACAATATCCCTAGCTGCAATTCAGGCTTGACATGGCTCCAGACAGAAGGAAAGACTGCAACATAAAGAGATTGTGCCTCATGGTGACCCAGCCACAATAATTCCAACAGCTATTCAGGTCTGCTATGGCTCCATTCATATAACATACAAGGTAAAGACAGAAAAAAATGGCAGTCATAGGGGAGCAAATCTGAAAATCATAAAAATGTATTGCAGTAATTCACTCACATGAGGTAAATGGGAAAGTAGCATTATACAGAAACCAAGATGATGTCACAAGCCTAGAGGCCATCCAACATGGATAAGCACATAGTCATCCATTCAGAAGTCAGGCTGTGACAAGACTAGTTCTGTGAATGAATGATGCAGCTGGGCAGGCAGAGCTCAGCACTGCCGAGTTTTTTTTAAATAGTGACAGCAAGCGGGGGGAGAAGATCCCCAACTACTTGTCACCCTATGATTCATGTAGCATTTACTTCCTGGAATTCATCTCCCCTGAATTCAGGCATGCAGGCAAGAGGGTGTGCTTAGCTGAGAACCCCCTCCCCCTGAAGACTCCTAGGAATTATGACATAATTTCCTAGGCCTGTGAAGTGACTGAAGAAATGTAAAAATAACATACTTTCCTATCTACATACTAATGCTAGCAACATAAGGATTAAAAATAGTCAATGTTGATTGAGAGAGTGAAGTTCCACTTTAAGTGTCAAAGATTCAAGTAGGATTAAAACAGTTATGCACACATCTAAAGAAAAGGAGAGAAAAAAAGAAATTCTAAGCCACCCCACCTTTGCTTGGCATTTTTCCACGATGAAACAAAAATCCTATACTCTTTACCATACAACAATCTCAAGAGACCCCACCTCAGTCTACCAGGCCTCAGTGTCCAAAAGAGTTTGGTACCAAGAAGTATGTAAAAACTCATACCATTGGAGCCACTTCAAGCTAAATTTTTCACAAATACCCTTCTCATTGGCTACCAAATCCTCCATCCATTAAATTTAATTTATTTTTTCCAACCATTGTGCCATGGAGGGAGCTTGTCATTGTTTTCAACAGGCTGGAATACAGCTACAGGATGCATTAATTAAAGCAGGGAGAATAGATTGCTTATAAGCTACAATTGGATTGGTTTGATGGTGCAAGAAGAAGAGGGCTGGTTCCAATTGGAGCTGCTGGTCTGTAAATGTTGGTAAAACGTGAGAAACATCTGTCCAGAAGTGACACATCTTATCACAAGCCCAAAAGACATGTAGCAAGTCCCCAAAGGTCTTCCCACATCTCCAGCATAGATTAGAACTCAATGGAGACATTTTTCAAAAACAGACTTTCGTATAACACCACCTGGTACGAATTTTAAAACCAAGTTCTTGATATCTAGAGCAAATTGATGTTTTATAGGAAAACGGAAAGATTTTAACAACTTGTTCCTGAGTAAATTAAATATGGCGGTCCCTTTCCCACTTACAAATATATGGCAGTCTATAACCTGGCACAGGTGAAATAAGCATGCCATAGGTCAGCGAGATTGCGTGTCTAAGAGGCTCTGAGGAGCCACAAAGTTGTCTGAATGGAGCCAGAATACACGCAAAAACTGATGCTGGAGGAAATAACGAGAGGAAGTGCGACAGTTGAATCTTGGTGCAGAATTTAATAGTAGCTATCACAGGATCAGAGGCAACCAATTCCATGTTAGGCTATCTTTTACTCACCATTAACTGGTGTGCTCAACATAACTTTTGCTTCATCCGTCCAGTCCTGGACAAAAAGCTGGATTTCCCAAAAATTAGAAAAAAGGTGAAGTAGACAAAGATATTGCTTTATCAGTAAACAGTTTCTGGCAGATATCTCATGTCATTCTTGTAGTAGGATGAGACTTTATAGCTCGAGGTACAGCCTCAGTACACCATGGGAGAGTAGACAAAGGGATTGGTGATGTAACTTGCTCAACAGCCACCCACTGTTTTTGAGAGCCATGTTTCAGCCAGTCCAATACAATAGCCAAATGGCATGCCTCCTGATAACAAAACAGATCTGGAAGAGCCAGCCTCCCCTTATGTTGGAAAGGAACTTGTTTTTATATCAGATGTTTATGGAATTTTACTGCCTAGTTAACAAAGAGCCATTTGGCCTGTTGGATGCCATCTTGGAATGTCAGTAAAACAAGATTATACAACAGGGTGTGTGTAACAAAAGATTGCATACCATAATCCTGATCCTGCAAGGGAAATCACGCATAACCCCTAGCTGTGAGGCATGAAGATAAGAAAGCCTCAGCCCAGATTTCCTGGTGATGCAGAGATTAAAATGACTGATTGCATGACTTTTAGCAAGAAGAAAGGAACTAGATGTGGACTGGAATGTTGACCTGGGTCCAGGGATTTGTAGCGCAAGGTGCCACTACCTCCTAGTGGAAGACAGCAGCATACTTCCTGGAGAATAGTCAGGGTAATACCATACTTCCAGGTGATTAAGGAGGACAACCCCTTAGAATTTATGGATTGTTGCTAATTGGACAGAGGACTACACAGGGCAGACAGCGGGTGATTGTGTGGGTTGTGTCTGTGAGTGTTTTAAAATGTGAGGGCCAACGATGAAAAGTCTCTCTTTCTATCCATAGCCCAGCCAAATACTTATCTTAGAGGATGAACTTATGTAACGTATCACCTTTGCTCTTGTATTTCTATTTGCTCTATAATATTCTTTTAGATTTCTGTGTTAATGTTCTACTTTCTTTGTAAATAAATAAAACCTTTGCTTCTTTGAATGTTGTGTTTATTTTTATAGCTAATATTGTTATTATATTATCGCCATTAATATTATCAGAGCTTTGATAAAAAAGATAATTATAGAAACATACAAGATAGTACGTATTTATAATTTAAGTAGGGGGAAGCCAAAACCACCTTCTATTTATTTCACATCATTTTCAGTAATCAGAGGATTGACTGAGGTAGTCTAGTTGATTTGTTGGCCCATAAGAACTAAACAAAGGCTATATTCACCTGTTTTAAGAAAGAAAAGGGGATGTGGATGGGAAGTGCTTGTAAAAGATATAGCATATATTCTTTTTTTTTTTTGTTTACAAACTGCTTATCGAAATGGTTTTCAAATAACTCAAAGTGAAGGTTGACAAATGACCAATAGTTACAATGAAAAACATAAAATGCAAGATACGTTCAGCCAAGACACCTAGTAAATAGTGTTTCATGATGTAGCTTAAACCCATACATACAACTAAAGTGAAATAAATGAAGACACATATCAAGCATATAAGTATAATCCAGACCATAGATACAGGATATCAAAGGATAAATAAAAATATATCACAGCTATAGCAAACACAAAGAAAAGAACAAAAGACAGTAATTTAAGACAGAAATAGCTGTCAATTTGCCTTCCATACATTCCATCTGGTGGAAAACAGTAATGGTTTGTCTTGTAAAGAGTAAAAAATTTTTTCCATAATCATAATAGTATCAATTCTAGACATAACAGTAGACAATGGAATACTGTCAGATTTCCAGTACAGTGCTATGGCCCAAAGAGCGTCCACTCAAAAGGAGTAAGTAAGCTTTTCCTCAAAGCGTGTTGTACCTGGTATAGGACAAAAAGAAGGCACATCGGAAGGGTTAAAAAGAGGTACCTGTAATGGCTGAGGCCATTTAGGAAATCGTATTCCAAAGGAGTTGGGTTTAATCACAGGCCCAGAAAATGTGTACGAATGATCCCCAAGAAAAGCATCCTCTAAAACATCATTTAGATGTCTGAGGGTACATAACAAGCTGTCTAGAAGGTATGCAATATCATTTAATAAAGATTTTCTGTGCTGTTTCACATACAGTAAGGGATTTGGTACAACTGTGCATGTTA